TTCCACTCCCACCGTCTTGTGGTCTGGCAGGTGCGTCGTTTTCATGCAGGCGAGACCAATCAGAGATGCAAATCGCAGCTCCGCAGGTGACAAACTCCCGCGGAGGTTTCCCGGTGTCATGTAACATGCTGGCAGAAGACGGACTCACCACCTTGGTGAGAAGGTCACGTCACACCGCACGTGACGTCTGCAGCTGGCGCCGTCACTTTCCGGTGCCGTCACGCGTGACACATTGCAATGGTTCGCGATGAGGGATGTAAATTCGCGGCGCCTCCGGGGCCGGCTGTCGGTGCGGTCATGTCTGACAGAGGAGACGGGTTCGACCCTGACCGATCTGACCGGACAGCAGGTGTTGAAGCCTGCCGGCAGGCCGGACCAGCCTCGACAGGGACTGCAGATAGCAGGACAGGAAGTGTCCTAGCTCGCCAGGTGCGACCGAATCGAATGGGCTGGCCCGGAAATTAATGTGGTTTGGCTCGGAAATTCATATGGTCTCACTCGGATATCAACTTCGCGAGTCCAGACGAATCCTAAGCCGCTGATGAGTCTCTCAAAGTCAGCAGACTTGGAGATCCTTTCCGCGACATCTCGGCATCGCAAGGAGGCAGATGCTTCCTGCGGACTGTCCAGTCGGCGGCAGGACAGCCCAACGATGCCAAGGCCACTGACGGCACTGCACTGCACCCCTGCACGTGAGAGGGCTGAGAACAAGGGTGTTGTGAACGGTATGCGTGGCGCTCCGTGAGCCTGGTGAATAGGTGCCCGCCGCACTCTGTGCGTTTACGGAATATTTATGAGTCAGAATTTCCGCCGGATCTGGGACCGACGTTCGTTCGCAGCCGCTTTTTCAAAGGGAGGCGTGGCTTGTTGGTAGGGTTGTGTGAACTCTGTTCGCACTTGCTTATTCTGTGGAGTAGCAGTTACGCATACATTAGCATTCTTCTCTTGCGTTTTGATTCGCTTTCTGAGTTAGGCATAAAAGAGCTCGTTGAAATACAAACAACTCAGGTCACTGGCATATGGGCGGATAGCCTTGAATGTCAGCCTTCTTCCGGCTTCCATCTCTCTGTTCCAATGGCTGGCAGCCAGGGTCACGTTTTCAGTGCTCTGTGCACACATCGGTCAGCTCAATGCCCTCTTCGCCAGTGCACGAGCGAGGTGAACATGAATGTGCGTACTGCATGCGTGTGCGAAAAACTAACATCCATCCGGTCACTCAACTTTCTCGCAGCGTGGAATGGGCTCGCCTTAGGCAGCAGGATGATGGCAAAGCACCGGAACGAGCCCCTGCACGGTCATTTTCAGTCCGGAGGGCACGAGTGACATTGAAAGCAAGTGGTCGTTGACGGGTCATCTAACCGTGGCTGCTTCGGTCGGCGGTTGGACGGCGGCTGCCCTTTGCAGAGGGGCCGCAGCCGCGGGGCCACCGCAGGGGCAGGATGTCCCCTTCTCACTCGCCCCTCCGGCCTCGGAAAGCCCGCGCAGTGCGCAGTGCCACTAAGTGGTAGCCACTGCGCATCTCGGTTATGACGTATGCTGACCAGAACTTTGTAGTAGGTGTTTGCTCTTGCTTAGGCCTTGAGCCAATGCAGCAATGGAAAACGGTATGCTTGCACGGTCATCAGTCTTCTGAGTAACTGTTCAATATTGCCATCGGGCATCGTTATATACGGGTACTGCCAATTAATCAAACCCTCTTCTTGAGCATTCTGTGGTCATTGACCGGCGCGCCGTGTACCCTCCGGTCCCACTTACGGACACATAATCCCCCCGTATCGGACACATACGGACCCGGTAACCACTGTTCCCTTGATGAGAGCCGTCCATGTGATCTGTGGCCCACGCCGGCGGTCACGGTCGCCCCGAGCGCTCCTGCATGAAATGAAGGATTATTACCGAGTGAAGTCGGCCGCAAGAGACTACCCGGAACACTGAACCCTATGCTCCGGCAGCGCTGGATGGAGATGTCAATGGAAATTAGGTGAGGGGATAGCGGCAGTCAGGAATAAAGATTCATGATTGCCGCTGTAATAGGCGCACATACATGATAAAACTAGGATTTTACCGTTTCATCTGCACGTGATCCAAATCGATTTTCTCGGGTCGCCGGCGAACAATTTGTCATCGCTGTCACCAAGCGACCCGGGTCAAAGCAACATGCGAGGTCGGGTCAAAGCACTTTCTCATTTCACCAGACACCGTCCAACCTGTCTGACATGGTGGGTTCATGTGCCGAAATGCAGCACGTCTTGTGAAACGCGGCGCCGTCTGCCGGACGAAACTGCCTTCCAGGAGCGCCTCAGTCTACCCAGGCCGGTTACCTACTATCAGGTCGGATTAGGGCCGCTTTATGCGTCTGGCTATGACCGGAGGCAGATGGTTTCTATTTGAAGGCTGTCTGGCTGTATAGCGGCTACATGATTCATAATCAGGTCGCGATACCTCATATCCGAGTTTATTGCCACGTACTATATATCCCCGTAAAGTAGCTCAGCCTGAATAGTTCAGACTAATGAACTGCTCCGGTTAACTTTGAATATTAAACTTTTCTCGGACTTCTACGTGGGAAAGTCGAGGAGGAATATCATAAGGCTATCAATTTTGGTATTATAGCTACCGGTTCTTACAAGGGAGTCCATTTTGGTGCAGACAATATCGTCGATCACGTAAACGAAACACTAGTGAGCCTTCCTGCGCAGCTTATCGCAGACACTGTACTTGCAATCGATCGCAACTCCTTATGTAACTCAGCAATTAAACAAATATACGATAAAGCAGCCTGCGATTTGTCTTTACGATTCCACGTAACACTGGAATGTTGACAGCAGTGCTTTATCCAGAATTTGACCAGGGTGTGGTATAGATGGGAACGATTACTAGCAGCTTTGCCTATTTATAGGTCGGGGTATGAAAAGAGATACGCAATAGGAAATTTGATATCGCCAATCACATTTACCTTGTAATTGATGCTGAAGTTAAATGTGTGCTAGACCATATATTTGCATACGTGTTGCAGATGTCATGGGTTTAGAGTTTAGACCTTCTCCTTACTAGTTTTGTTTTATTTTATCGTCTCTTTTTATGCGAAATTTGTCAAATATCTCTTAATGCCTGGCAGAACAGACGCTCATGCTTCATCGGCTGTGAATTATTCGCCCTCATCACTGGTGGTACACTTAAGCATTCGCATACTTTATTTTTATGGACAGCATTAGCCATACTCTGGTCCACTTTATTCCATGCGCGCTCTTCTCCACTTCCCTGTGATGTGGCACGTTTCAGCAGTCTATTTCAGCGCTCGCCTACCTGTGACCCCTCTGGCAACTTTCCTGATAATTCATCCCATCTCCCAGACGAGCAGTCTACTGCCCACTCCCCTTCGGCGAAATGATGAACTGACGGCTCATAAATTGAGGCGTTTAGGAGGTGCGTGGAATTATAACCAACGCATTGTACTTTTAATGTGCGTCGACCGCTCCTCACGCCATAAATTCCGATTGGAGGCACGCACATGCGTGAGCGCCGGGCGGCTCGGCCCGGGGGAGCGCCCGAGGCGCTGTCTGGCCAGCCCGGGGAGGCGGCGGGTCGTCGACCCTAGACCACCTCGTCGGCCGTCCGTCGCACCCCGGCCATGACAGGCGCACTGGGGCGAGCGGCGAGCGCCATTGATGCGGCAGGGCCGGCCTTCGAGGCGTCGTCCCATGGCGCCCCCGTCTCTCCCCCGCCGCCTGAGCTCCTCCCCGCCTCGCGGGGTGCCAGCCGAGACCATGCTGCACAGACGCGGAGTCACTCCGTCTGGAACGCTGCAGCACCATCTCCAACCACGTCACTAACCGGCGCCGAGACCCTCCGCTTACTACGAACTCCTGACGAGTTTGCGACCAATGACCGAGCGTGTCACGACTCGGAAAGCTGAGTCACTCTCCACCGCCGCCCCCGAAGCTGCTCCTCGGCTCAGACACGCGTCATCTCCGGAATCGGAGCACCTGGGACTGAACCTGCTGTCCTTGGCCGAGCAATGAGAGACCGCGGGCAGCGCGGCCACTGCAGTGCTGCCCAGCGACAGGGGTGACCGGCCTTGTCTGGAATTACCCTGTGCCGTACAGCGCAGTGTTTTGCCGCCGCCTGTCTGGCAGGGATTATCTGTCCATCAGTCGGCGGTCTTGTGGTAGGACAGAGCCTCCCACAACAACGCGGCCTGGTAAAGGCGCAATCACGCGTGTGCCTGTCTTACTGAGACAGACAGGCCGCCATAGAACGGTACAGATGTGGTGAGGGTACAGAAAATGGGCGCATTTGTGGAGTGGAGAGGAGCCTGTCGCGACGCAACACCCTCAGACAATGTGATCAATGGGTTCGTTTGTCCATTGTCCACTGTCGAATTCGAAAGAAAAATTGCGAGAGAGCGTCTTCGACACGAGCACAACTATTTTCAACCTTACATTATCCACGATAATACGAAAAATACGAAAAAGGCACCCTGGCGCAGGGACATAAATCGCAAGGATTAGATTACTTGTCAGCTGGCTAGCGTATAAAGAAGTAAATTCCAATGTTTTGCAGCATTAGTTACGGATAGGTAGGTATTTTGTGCGCGCAGGATGACTGTTGAGTTTCGCGTTATGTAATGTGTTAGCGAATATCTCCCCTGCCTGTACCTATTAGCTCATACGTTGCGAAACAAACAAGGGTAATTATACTGAAAACCAGTCGGACTAGCTATTTTCTGTCTGCTGATTGCAAAATGATGCGTAATAAGAGATTGTATGTAGAGTGCTTCTGCACCGAAAACACCAAAAATAAGCATTGTTACGTAACAACGCAACATCCGAGTTCTTTTTATGTTGAACTCGTTTTTGAGCCACGGGCGAGCAGCATAACAACAGCTTCGGTATTCGTTTACCCCAGCGCATTTTCTTGCAAATGCAGACATCGTACAAAATACTTATTTTATTTAAAACCAACCATATCTAACCACCTCTCCACCTCTCGCCTGGCAGGTATCGGCATTGACGACACGTTCGTGATGCTGGCGGCGTGGCGCCGGACGCGTCTGCAGGACCCGGTGCCGGTCAGGCTGTCGCACGCCTACGAGGAGGCGGCTGTCTCCATCACCATCACCTCCCTGACCGACATGTTCTCCTTCTGGGTGGGCGCCGTCACGCCCTTCCCCAGCGTGCAGATCTTCTGCGTCTACACCGGTGAGTACCTATATGACATTCTGTCGGCTGTTTGCTAGTCTATGTCCATATTTACATCCATTTTTCTGTCCATTTTCTTTTTTAGTATTTCTTTTTGATCTCTTTCTTTTCATCTCTTTCCTTTTCAGTAGTCTCTCTTCTACTTTTCTTTTTACCTCTTGCTCCGTTTATATTCTTCTCCACCTTTCAACACACTGCTTACCGGCAGACATCCAAAATTAGACGTCACTTAGCGGTCACAGTTTTCACGCAACCGCAGCCTAAGAACAAGCCTTCACCAACTTCGTTGGTGAAGTTACTCGCCCTTGCAGTTTCGACACGGCCTGTCGATAGTAGACGGGTAGGTGCGTGTTATCGTAACCAGTGAGGTGAGCCCCAAACTGCCGGCTGACTGCAGTGACTGCTGAGTTGCGGAGTTGTTTGTGCTCTGCCTCGTGTAGAAAGTCGTCATTTTCCGTTTGAAGTGGTGCTGAGTGTCTGTTGTGCGGCGTGTGTGTACGAGGCAGTGTGATTTAGGACGCTCAGCCAGGAAGGATGAAGATGAGCTGACGATATTCGTAACCAGTGGTGTATAACATTACGTTGAATAATTTTCCCATCAGTTGAATTATCCTCTAGTTGTACTGCTGGTTTTTTCCCTGGGTAAATTCAGCATAAAATAAAAACATTTTACTCTTGGGCAGCCTCTCAATTGCTTACATACCATATCATCAATTGACTACACACCCAAATTTGCTCTAAAAAGTTTCCTAGACTCGCCTAACGCCTTAGTGTGAGTGATTACGTCACCGTGAAGGACCTAATTACGCAGCAAACCGATCTGCATTGCCACGACCTTGCAAGTTGCAACCGCCAACCTTAGATTGCAAGCTCTGCGCGGCACCTGCGAAACCACTTCCTGGAGTCACCCTGTTGCGTCTCTTACGTGTCTGACGCGTCTAGTTCGGTTGGGTGGCTCTCATACGCACATTTCCGCAGGCGGGACGTAGACGTTTCCGCTCTCGGACATACTACCATTCGCGATATCTACATAGATTGAAGACGCAGTCTGATCGCTCGCATATCCTTCGCGATACTCAGACTGCACCCACGGCGCAGTCTGGCCTGCACCCGGACATACCAAAGTGGTGCTCAGACAGACTGCACCCCCAGGCGCGCGCCATGCTCCTCCCTCCCCCAGTGATAGTTATACGTGAAATCGGAGTTTGCTATAGCCGATGTGGGTTCAAGGAGAAACGTTGAGGTGAATCGTGGATATAGGTACGGATGCTAATTAGATTCTGCGATGCTTCTTAGTTCTTTGAATGGCAGAACCGTAGCCATCGGTCATTCGGATCTGGAGTCTACATACATCAGTGACTGCAAGAAACTTGCTGAACTTTTCTAACAATGCTTCCCGTTGTTTGTTGCATCTGCATCTGGAAGATTTATTAGCAAGTATTCAATGTGCTGCATTGATGTCGTTCTTTACGGCAGTTAACAGGGGACTAACAACAGTCCCACACTTCCTTACATAGGTGCAAATGGATTCGGTATTCTGCTTCGGCAACAGTAGTCAAACCAGCCACTTTCGCCATTCTGTTTAAGCATATATAATTCATGAGCTTCCCTCTCTTCCGTCTGAGCAGCTTGCTGTATATCATTGTTACGTTGGGCATTGCACTTAAAATGCGTCTGTCCTTGAGGATGTCAGACTAATTTACATATGTGTGTCATGGCCTATAGCGCCGGCTGCGCGGCTGGTCAGTTCGAATCGCATGGCTAGCGGTCGAATCAGTATCCTGTCCGTCAACGCTCCGTCAACGCTCATTTACACATGCATTGCACGCCATTTCCTATGCCTGTGCAAAGTTTACTTTTTGTCTATGGCTTTCTGACCTCGTATGACCCCGTATCCGTTTATTTGACCCGACTAACCACGTCTGACCCCGTCTCACTCCATCTGACCCTGTCTCACCCCATCTGACCCCGTCTAGCCTTGTCTGACCCCGTCTGACCCTGACCGATTACGTCTGGCTCCCACAGCGTCGATTTATATTCTGCCCTGTCTGCAGGATTTGGCACTGTCTGTGCATGCTCTGCGGGTGTGTTGACCCTCGTGTCTGATTGTCTGGGCAGCAGCCGATGCGGCTGTCCGCTGCAGAATCGTGTCTGTCTGACTGCAAAGAGACATTTGTGACCTCTGCACCGATGTGGCGGCTTCCTGCGGTGTCGGGTGCTGGACCCAGCAGGGGGTAAATGGGCGCATTACGGCCATCCGGCCTCCCGGGGAGCGGTAGGCATGTGGAGCTCTCGGTGCGAAGGAACAGAGAGTTTCAGACCTCTTGGTGCGAAGGAACGAAGCGTTTCAGACTTTTTGTAGCGAAGAAACTGAGAGTTTCATAAGAGCCTCAGTCATTCCGTTCCGTCCGTAGCTCTGGGCTCATTTGGTGTCGGATTCCATGCTTGCACTTAAAACGGTTTCGATTGACTTCGAACTAATTTTACGTTACTTAGTTTGAAACCTCAAAGTTAATTGAAGGACTGTTTCATTACCAGGTCAATATTCTATCGACACATTTTGATATGTTTTGCTTCGGAACCAGTTTAAAAGCTTTAGATGACCTGCTTTAGAAGATCGTATCTCCCGCACTACATCAACCAGGCATGGGCAGCTTCCCGTCCCATTATCAGAACCATTTCTGGTCGTCCTTCTCAGTGACAACCGTGATTTGTTACGTTAGATAGCCAAATCGTGGAGCGTTCCTGAGCATCAGTGATATCTATACGGTGATGCCGATAACGCATGTACACAGCTGACTTTTTAGCACATGGGAGGCAAGTGCTGCAGGTGTTAATCCCTCTTTGCGAGCATGAAATCTTTCCTTTAATGGCACCGATGGCGTCTGTGTAACGTAGTGAATGACGTAAGTGTTCCTGCCGTCTATGATGTCACTTGAACGAAATACCATCTGGTACCATATGTCACAACCGGGTTACTGTCATCACACGCTAGAGCAAGATCCAAAACCAATCAACCTTCGGCAAAATGAAGGTAATGGTGATACATTTCTCCGTCGGTTTCTTCAAAAAGGATCACCCCAAATATCTCCTTGCTCTTCTATTGCGCTGCTCAAAGCCCATTCATCAACCGGGCAGTAAAACGGTATAGAGCAGAGTGCAGTCCGCCTATGAGGTCTGTGAGCCTGCAGAGGGCATTTCCAAGGGCAGTAGCGGTCAGTCGCCCGTGCTGAGCTGGCTCCCTCCCCCGCCGTGACCAGCACTGAGGGTCTCCTTCCCACCACCCCGTGCTGGTCGCAGAGGGCATGGCGGTGCCGGGGGCGATCAGCGATGTTTGAGCAGATGACGAGTGGTGCTCGGCTGCATATGCAGCCGTTTGAGATCCGTGAGCGGCGGGAAAACCGACTTTTTGCTCTCCTGACGTCACAAAACCGCTTTGTTTTCGACGAATACGCGTCGTGCTAGCCTGGAAACAGGGAGGATCATCCGAGTAGCGCGCCGATATGTTGTGTCATCGCTGCTGAAGTGGCGTTAAGCGTTTGTTTTGAGGTGCGCCCAGCGCTGGAGGACCCTTTCCTTCATCCGGATTCATCCGGCACGCCTCCTGCGTCAATCCTCTCCATTTATTGTGTACGAGCCGCGCGCTGTTTCGTCATCGTCTGACTGACATTAAACAGAAAAGCCTTGAATCCAACTCGACAACAATACTGTCATCATACTGTAGGCAATGACCTCTGAAAGCCAGATGGGGCTGAGACGTAGCGTTTCGTCTTTCCTGTATCCTTCACCTCAGCAATGCAGGGTTCAACCTCCTTCCCTCCCCATCCTACCCCGTCCCTCTGAGCCTGGTCGGCAGGAGTCCGGAGTTCCCGCGATGGGTCCAGAGAACGGCCCGGTGGGCTGTTTTCGTCTCTAAACCGCTTCGTGAGCCAATCTGGCTGTCACGGCTAGCGCAGAATCATGCAAGCGAGGATGTTAGTCGGACGTCGCTCTGTTAGGATTTGGCTCCCTGTCTGCCACCGGGTCAAGGAAGGAACATTGCCCCCAACGTAACCCGTCTTCGGAGCTTAGACCGACTAAGCCAGAGCACTGATCTTCGTAAATCCATCAGCCGAGACTGTGTTTCTGAGTGGCATTGCTGCTTTCCGGCTTTTCGTACCGGTACGAGGAGCTGCGTTGTCCGATGATGTACTCGTAATTGCACGACGTAGGTACCTACGTGCACGAAGCGAGCAAGGAATCCAGTATGCGGCGGTTTTTTTTTACGTTAAACCGCTACCAAACGCCGTAGTATCGTCTTCGTATCTTTTTTGGTCGAAAGCTTACGCAACAGCGCTGCTTAAACATAATTTGGGTTTTGTTTACCGCCGTTTCTTGCTTCGATCGACGCTTCACGACTTACTGCTTTGATGAAAAAAGTTCTTTTGTCGGCCCATGATACCTAAATTCAGTCTCGAGCTATCCTGAAAATTCTCGCATATCATCGCTAACTGTTACAATGCTCTGGCCACCCTGCTTCCACGTTCCATAGCTCGTCACTCCCTCAGAATGAAGTCCTGCATGTCCGCCACTAGGAGGGCGATCATGCCACCGGGGCTGAGGTCTGCCACGCTTGACCGAGCACCGGTCGGCCCTTGCGACGTGTCTGCCCTTGACTGGGCTGTCCATCGCTCGTCCGAGCACTCGGCCACAGACAGTGGGGTGGGGCAGCACTTCTGCACGAAATTGCCCGGCCGTCTGACCCCACCCCTCCCGGGTACCCCTCCCCGGACCCCCTCCATTCCCAGGCCTGTCTGAAGGTCAAGGTCACTTGAGATCGAGTCCAACCGCCGTGGGATTGCGTAAGAGGGCGTTCGATTTAGCTCGCGCAGCTTGGGGCACTACAGTTCAGGCCAGCGCTCGGGTCCCCATGAATGAATGGCAGGCGGGTCATGACCCCTGGGGGTGGCCCGCTTACTAACGGGAGGGGCCGGGTCAGCGCGAGGTCAGCACGGGGTCAGATTGGGGTCATTGCAGCGCGCCTGGCAACGGGGAGGGAGCGCCAGGAGCGAGTACAGGACTGGCTTAGGGAGACAAACGCAGGAGGCCGCGGGAAGGGGCAGGGTGTAACCGAGACATTTCATAGATTGGGCTACCTGGATGGATGAACCCACATGGCATGGTTGAACCTGAATGCCTACATGGTTGATTGGTATTAGCCGTTTTCACGACGGCCTATCCGGCGAATGCACCTGCTTTGACCAAATCTGCACCTAATTTCTTTTACAGCAAATATCTTCATTTTATGAATTCATTTCAGTGTTTTAATCGATGATGCTCTCTGATAATATGACAAAGCAGGCATATAAGCAATTAGTGCACCCCTAGCTGATAGCTGCTAAGAGACACACTGAACCCGATTGGACCAAATCTGCACTAATCTGTACCAGATGTGCACCAAATGTGTACCAGATGGCCGTCGTAAAAACGGCTATTGTCTAGGTCACGGCCGATTTGTGGGAGAGTATCTATTTTAAAAGAGAAATTCGTCCGCACCGCAAGGAATGGCTAGAAATGTTTCAGGTTCAGTTCCCACTGCTAAAGACGCCTTTTATGACAGGGTGCGGTGGCGACCCAACATTGCAGACAATCATGTCGCCATGTGGCATGCTAGTTGTGAGAGGTTGTTATAAAGTTTTTCAGCCTATTGGGACCGGACAGCAGACAATTAATTCGTTTCGGATTAATGGACAGTTGGCGCTAGACGACGAAAGTAGACGGAGACGGTGAACAGTAAACGATCAACTGATAACACAAAAAAAGTAGTCAAAGGACACCGGGACTGAATGACCAAACACTAAGCATTCGGCCGTGGACGTCAAACAGCTGAGAGATAAAGGCGACCAGGAGCCAAATTACAGTTACATCAATCCTTGGAAAACCTTCACCCCCCTCCCCCACCAGTCCGCCTGACCTCACCGGCGGCGCTCAGACCAGTTCTCGGACCAAACTGACGGTCCTGTCCCTGACCAGACCACCGGCGGACGGACCTGACGGATGGCCGGTCTAGTGCGACAGCTGGCTCTGGAATCGAAACGACCGCGATCGCAGTGTGGCCATGACGGTGGTCCCCGCGCACACTCTCTAGAATTGATAGGCGACAGAACACGAGCCCAAGTTGCAGCGCGGTCCTCCGGTGGCCAGAAGCCTGATGAATGGCTACATTAGTGACGGTCATTATGTGTGTATTCTCGCCTGTGGAGTGTCTTATTAGGCGCAGCTGTCCGAAGAAGTGGCGTTCGAGGTAACACCGCCGGCGCTTGCACCACATGGGTGGCGAAACTGAGAAGGGAGGTCTGTGCTGTGGACAGGCGTTCACTGACCATATGTCGGCCGTGTGAGGGCCGTGGACAGCCGTGGACAGACGCGTGGACACCCGTGGATCACCGAGTAACGCAATGACGCTCTGGGACACGGCTTCTTTGCCCGTCGCTTGCCGCTCAGACTCAGACTGTCATATCCTCTCCGGTCTCTGATGTCACATTCAATGCTCGCCGTCGCTCAAGGGCGATCGATACTGTGGCTTGACACGATGCCGTGGGGTACATACGGCTGTCAACAGGCCTTCGAACCCTCAGGGATCGCTGCTACGGCAGGACGAACGCTGGTCGTTCCGACGTGTTTGTCTGCACGAAGAAGCCCGCCCGGGTGTGCTTAATAAATTATGAACAGCTGTTCGTACGTTGCACGCCGTTGCAGTATTGATTTCCAGTTGACGTCATAGCCCATTAGCGGGAACTCTCATATATGCAGGCATTTTGTTGTCAATAAAACACGCCTTGGCAATCCTTTGATATTTTAGGCTACCGTTAAAAGCCAGCTTGTAGTAAATGCGACTGCCAACTTGCCAGCAAAACTCAATTTGGATAACATTGCTGCGAAGTCCCGGCCGGCCAAATAAGTCCGTGGCAAGAAATCCTCATGCATCACCTTACGAATATCCGGACGTTTTGACCCATCATAACGTCAATAAATTACGAAATCGTCTGTTAAACACCTCAGGTAACCATGGCAACCCCCTCTGTTCCGTTACAGGCATGTCAGTGGTGTTCACCTACCTGTGGCACGTGACGTTCTTCGGCGGCTGTATGGCCGTGTTCGGCTATCTGGAGGAACAGGGTCGTCATGGAGTGACCTGTCGTCCCGTGCTGCCCGTCTCCCAGTCAGGTGAGGGTCCAAGGGACACGGGGATGGTGATGGGGACGGGGCAGGGCGAAGAAGGGAAGGGAGGGACCACCGAGACAGGCAAAAGGCAGGGATATGTCGCAACGGGACGGGCTAGATAGTTTGGGACGGGTATGATAGTTATGCCCGCTTTTTACCTCGAGAATTATGTTGCATTTTCATATCATTTGAGTTTTGATTCCTCTGCTTTTTCTATTCTTTTTCCCCGAAGCATGCATGTGTTCTACCCGTCATCCTCCAATGTACAGAGCTCTCTCATTCTCCGTGACCCTCCTTCTACTCGGCTTACCTGACTCGAGTTTTTGCCGTCACGATGTTGGCTATACAATAAAGAGCCATTAAGCTGTTGTGGGATTATGTTCATCTCGCAATAGATGGACGATGGAGGCTGGCGAAAAGCTTACATCGTTTTCCATGTTCGTCCTCCCCAGCCCCACCATTATGCCACTTACCCGCACCCACTGTCAAATATAAATCTATGCAAAGTGAGCGCTGTGATACATCAGCATCATTTAGCTGCAGCTTCTCCCGTCAGGACGTGCAAAGCACAAAGGGATCCCTTCATATGATGGACTGCCCCTCCGAACATACCCACTCGTGTAATTGTTCACAGAATAATGGCGAGACACCTTCCACATAATTAAGTACCACCTTTAAATAACGAATTGATACCGAAGCCTACGCATATTAAGAAATGAGGGCCTTGATGTGCGTACGGGCGACTGCCAAAGACCACCCTGTACAAGTGGTTATAAATTCCGGTAGGTATGATGTTCCCCTCTCATCCCCCGAGGCAGTGCCTATCCGACGAGATCGTACATTGGTAAAGATCCTTGAGCTATCTCTTCGTACAGGAAGTCGGGTAATGATCCATTTCTATTCAGTTCGAGCAAGTTCCGGAAACCATTCATTTAATTCATTATGCACATGCAATTCGAGCAATTGTTTCGTAATAGGATGAACGTTAAGCGTTTGGAAGAAACGAAAGAGCTGTCGATTCCTGGCACTACCTACACTTTCTAACCATATCTCCGCTAATTATCCCTTACGGCCTTTTGCATACACCCTTAGAAGATCATACGCTCATAAGAACCACTTAAGTACTTCATTCATCCAAACTCCTACTCTCAGCCTCGTTTCCGGGATATTTCACACACGCCCTTGCTCGATTCCTGTACTCCATGCACCCGTTTCTTGATCGGCATTCCCGCAGCGTCGTCTGCTCGCACGTAAACGAGCTACCATCGGGCACGGAGGGGCGATTCGGCTGATAGGTGTCTGGTGGCGGCCCGGTGACCCGGCTCGCCGACCCTGGCCCGTGGCAGTCGAGGTCACGGGCGCTGCGCCGCTGCACTGTGGCCGGCCGACCGAGCGCCGGTTCTTGCAGCTGTGAGCGCAAAAACTGGCACCCGGGACGTCCGGCCGCGTCACCGAGAGACCTTAGTGTCGCCGCGATCCTGGCACGTGCCGATGAGCCCGGTGTCCGGGTGGGTGGATTGGGTCACCTGGCCAGCCGGGTGCCAATGGGATGGTAATGGTACCAATGTACCAATGGAAAGTTGTGCAGGCGTTTTGCATGGACTGCTCGACCATGTTCATTCGCCTGTGTGGGTGCACCGTTGTGGTCGATGTTGTGCAACGGGGCGGAGAATACGAGCATAGCGACTGGCTCAGACAGGTTAATTGAATTCCTGTCTTCCCGCCTGTTGACTCGGGAAGGCAATACACTGACGGTACGTTGTAGTCACGTATTTCTCGACCTGTGACCTGTCCTTGTATGTCGCAATTAACAGTCTACATTTATCCGATTTACAGAGGACAGAGGGTGCTGGTATCAGCTCTGCTGCTCCGGAGGAATCTCCAAGTCAGACCCATGGAACGAGAAGGACAATAAGGATCACATCATCATGGTCTTCTTCCGGGACGGCGTGGCTCAACTCCTCAATATCCCGGCCATCAAAGGTACGCGTCCTAACTGGCTTACCAAAAGGATCATGATCACTTCACACATGCATATGTTCAGCCAAGTACAGTGAAGAGCAATATTATTGCTGAAAATTGATCGAAGAAATTAAAACACAGCGCTCGTCCTCAGTAAATGTCATTTTTGTTTGATGCACGAGGGCCGAGGCTTCCGATCATCTTAGAATAAACCGACGAGTTCCGAAAAATATAGGCTCAAAACGTCTCCGATGACCTTGTCTATCGGTATATAGTGGCTACAGGTGTTTCAGTAAGCACATCTGAATTTAAAATCACCTGAATACACGAAAAATATCTTACAAGTCCTCTGACGTGCCATCAATGCAACACCTGTAGATCTGGTTTCCTTTGCATACAAAATAACGGAATGCATTTGCTGGATGCACTCGTGACACAAACTTGTGAAAGCTTCCGACTGGTTGCCGTAAATATTTTATTTTATTTTTAAATTATCCAAACAGCCGCTCTTGATTCAATGTTTCCACAGCCAATCCCCCAACCCAGTGGCTGTATTTATCACCGTTATAAATCGACCTATGCACGTCAGCATCTTCCAAGCTTCTTTGACCGATTCCCTGCACTTCACTTCATCCGGCCGTTGCCGTCACTGACCCTGCCGTCCCCCACAGCGTTCGTCATCATGGTGTTCCTGGTGTACCTCGGTGTGGCCATCTGGGGCTGCACCATGGTCAGAGAGGGTCTGGAGCGACGCAGACTCTCCAAGGACGACTCCTACTCGGTCCAGTTCTACGACGTCGAGGACTTGTACTTCCGAGAGCATCCGTACAGAGTCCAGGTGAGTAGGTGCCGTAGTTTGAGCCCATCTCACTCCATCAGTGGTGGTGGATAACCTATCGTGCTGCCGGTCCCTCGAGCACTGTTTGAAGTCTGTTGAAGACAACAAATCGGATGAAGTACCCTAGCAACCTAGCGTCGTGTGGTGTAAAGAAAACTGCCTCATCTATCAGTCAATAGTCCACTTACAAAGCTGTCATGTAGACTGCTCACGCCGTCGTTTGAACCCAGCTGGCTCGACTGTCACAGTACCGATCAATATACGCACGGTGGCACTCCCTGGACACACCTGCCATTCAAACAGCCAGGTGCGCCGTCCAGGGACTGTCTGCGCCATTAACGCTCCTCCGAGCCCCGGGGCATAGCGACGGCCTGTCAGCGGACTGGAAAATCCCGCCTGTGACCGAGCCCTAAGCGTATGCAGTTGCTGTCATGATAGCGGTAGAGTGCGGTGAAGGGGAGGGGTATGATGACCGCACCGGCGACGTTCAACGAGGGGCGTCATTGATGACACTGGCCGGCCAGACGGGTCATGCAGCTCACGTTGTACCCCGCCACGCCACCGTCTGCACGGGTGGTGTGTCTGGGTCATCCTTGTCGGCGCGGATGTAGGCATCCATAGCTGTCAGCTCTGAGGGCGCGGCTCGTAACGTTCCGACGCGCTAATGCGTGAAAATGGCTGGGGTTTAATATCCATATAGTTAGGGATACATGTCCGAGGGTATGGTAAGCTTTATTGAAGGATAAAACTGACCAGATGAGATGAGCATGCTAATATGCGTTACATGCTAATTGCTAGGTTAGTGTTGCCTATAAGCAATAAACATGGCGGTACACCTAGACAAGACACCAAATTAAACAGTCCATTTTTACTAGTTTTTTTTTTTTTTGTTTAGATACCGCTTAGGTAGTTACCTATTGGTATTATCTATTACTTATTAGCGCATGCAACAATGACAATTGAAATTGAAAGTGTGCATATGCATAAACATATGTGCATTGTGCAATATTGAGCATCTTATTAAAAGTCACATCATTATTCATAACCGCCACTCGTCTCCATGAAACTGACCGTATATAGGCCCCAAAGTGCCTCCCATGTTGCTATCGGCACGCCAGAAATAAATTCAGGACTCGCTGCTCAGTTTCACTTTTCATAGATGTCCTCGCAATGACCAAAGACAGAGCCAGAGACCAGGCATGCGAGACCCGTCATTCAGAAAACTCGCGGCCCTCATTCACCTGTCAACGAATCGAAAAGGTCACGGCACTCGCGCTCCTACTATGGAGTTCGACAGTCTTCGCTAGTGCGAATTTGCATCAGGTTTTGCGGGAATCTCCCAGTCAAAGCATATTGGTTTTCTGGGCACGTCTTGTCCCGCGTCTAGCATGAGGAAGCTTTTGGCATAGAGGTGTGAATTACCAGAATAAACATCACGTCAGACATTCCTTTACGGTGCAACTTCTTCGTCCGTTTACGGCACCGCGAGAGACCGGATCTCGCCGTCTGGTCAATCCGGTACTGTATGAAAATGTGTGCTTCCCTGCTTTGGAAACTCTGCCGTACGCCCTGCCAGATAAGTAACATATTCGCTCGTTCGTGATGCATCGCACTCGAAGAAAGCATCCATAGGCCAGGCAATACGCATCACTGCCAGTGGGACCAGTCAAACGTGAAGTTAGACATCTGCATTCTAGTCTCTAACCCCGCTTTTTTGTCTCTCCCTTCAGGTGATCGTGCAGGGCAAGATGGACTACTCCGACCCGGAGGTGCAGCGTCAGGTGGAGAACCTGTTGCAGACATTCGAGAACTCGACCTACATCGAGGGCCGCTTCTACACCGAGTCGTGGCTCCGGGACTGGGTCAGCTTCGTGGAGACGAGCGCGCCCATCCTCAACATGAACGTCAGCACGCCTGAGCTGTGGCTGGAGGGATACAAGACGGTACGTGGTGGTGCGTGCGCCGCGTCAGATTACATGCATTTTAGGCGCAGTTTTGAAGTAAAAAAATCGCTTGATAAGCATTCTTGCAAAGATAAAACCGTCTTCTATCTTAAATGAGCCCTGGCACCGACTACCGTTCCCCTTGCCATTCTAAAGTGCCCTCAATCTCGCACGGCATCTCGGTCCTTGGATGTCCTCGTCTCCAGCTACCTCATTAGCATGTTCGCCGGTGGCCCGCGGAAATCCCGAAACTCCTGCCATCAGCCGACCCCCAACACATCCCGAATTCGTGCCACGAGCCGTCGTGGGTGGCACGTGACACGTGGCCAGACTGTCCCGCGTGTAGACAGACATTTTAAGGATCACTCGCAGCGATGGGTCGTATTGTAGCGGACTTATCTCTAACTTACCGGCATGCTTATCTCCATCTAAACTCTCACGAGCCACATAAACAAGGCACATTACTCATCCAGTCTGTCAGGCGCGGTCCCAAAGCGCGCCATTTCCTGATTCTCTTCTGAATTTGAATGAAGCAAGCAAGCGATGAGACGATCGGTGAGCCTTGAAGTCATCATGCCACAACTCGCATAAATTGACGAATCGTGCATGCACAACGACGTTTCGTCCATCATTCACCGTCTTATCCGCAGCTAACCGAGAGTGTTTGCTGTTCGGCAGGCGTTCCTCGGCGGCTCCAGCCCCATCACACTCGACACGGCTTTCAACGAGAAGGGAGAGATTGTCGCCAGTCGCTTCATCATCCAGACGCGGCACATCAACAACACGCTCGAGGACAAGGACATGATGCTGGAGCTGCGCCGCATCTGCGAGGAATCCGAGCTCGAGTGCTCCATCTTCCATCCGCTCTTCGTCTTCTTCGACCAGGTCAGGACCCCGGGAAATGTCCGGTGTAGGTATAGACAACGCGCTGAGTTCAAGTCTAAAAAGCTTAACGTCAGAACCGTCTTCATGCATACGGTGCGCCTGGAGGTTGAAGAAAATAACAGTAAATGGTGCTCCAACATCGGAACTTCATGGTGCTGATCCGAGGCGAGGTCGAGATCGGTTATTTATGTTCACCCAGAAGTTGGAAGAGCTTTTGCCAGCTTTCTGTTTCGACAAATCTTCAGTCTTGTCGGGTTCTAAACAGAAACCCTGCCTAGCTGGTTCCATCTGTAATCTGCACCGCCCGCCATAACGTTCTTCTTCTCTGTCTCCACAGTTTGTGCTGGTGCGCACCGTCTCCATCCAGTCCATCTCGATCGCCGCCGGCATCATGTGCGTCGTCTCCCTCATCTTCATCCCGAACCCCGTCTGCTCGCTGTGGGTGGCCTTCAGCATCCTCAGCATCGAGATCGGCGTCATCGGCTACATGACCCTCTGGGGCGTCAACCTGGACAGCATCTCCATGATCAATCTCATCATGTGCATCGGCTTCTCGGTGGATTTTTCCGCCCACATCAGCTACGCATACATGGCGGCGCACGGGAAGACGGCCGATGAGAGAGTTCGTCTGTGCCTGCATGCTCTTGGCCTGCCGATCCTTCAGGGCGGCTTCTCTACCATCCTCGGCGTGGCCACGCTGTACTTCGCGCCGTCCTACATCTTCGTGACGTTTTTCAAGACGAACTTCCTGGTGATCTTCTTCGGCATGGTGCACGGCATCTTCCTGCTGCCTGTGCTGCTCTCGCTCTTCGGGCCCGGCTCCCACTGCTGCGGCGGCGGCCACATCCACGTCGAGCCCACGGAGGTGAAGCCGAGCTCGCTGGCGGCGCTGCCGACCGCCGACGGCACGTTCTACGTCAACGGCGGCGGCCAGATTGTCACCCTGCACGGCAAGGCTGGCGAAATGCCGCCTCTGCGCATCCCGCGGCCTCAGTCCAGCCGAACGTCGCGTACGGACTCGTCGGTCCGGCTTACCACCGGGGCCTTCACCGTAGCTGAGGAGTCGCCGCCCTCGCTGCCTAAGGTGGATCAGACTGCGCTCGACAAGGACCTCGGTCTGGGCACCTCTGGTGAGGACAGCATCGAGAGCAGCCTCTCCAAGGGTGCCTCCAAGAGCGCAGCGTCGGCCAGCGGCGGCCGACGCGCGCATCGCACGAAGTCGGCGCCGCTCTCGCTGCTAGAGATGTATAACAATACCGGTTACGTGAGCGACGACGAGACGAGTAGCCCTCGCCGGCCGCGCGGCCACCGCGGCGGAGTGAAATAACACAGCCCCGGATAGCTAGACTACCAGCAACCGAGAGCTAGTCAGCCGCCGGATTCGAGCGGCCCGCCGCAACGCGCCGGTGGCGCCCCCTTTACAGGGACGGGCGCTGCAGATGGCGCCAGTGTCACCCGACCGACCTCACCAGGTGGTCAACAAGGCGTGGCACAGCGCGGCTCGGGCACTAGCCCTGATGTTATGATGTGTTGTCGCTCGCTGCTCACTCTGATCGCTTTGTGTGAGCCTGTTCAGTCGCGACCTCGAGTGAAGCTGTCTCTGTGAGCAAGCAATGATGCACGCTGGCGCGTCCATCATCCGGATCACTGAGGGACCAAGCCCCGACAAGTACATGTCGCGCCGTGACCTCGCAACGCCGGACGTTGCGAGACATTGAGCAAGCTGACGGCGTGCCACTTGCCAAACCGCAGCGCCAGTGAGCAGACAAACCTGTGCTGCCATCTATGCGGATCGTCGCTCAACCGAGAGACAGTGTATGACCTCGGCTTGCTGCCTCGCGCAGCTTCACGGACATTTGCGGGTGCGTTTGCTAGAAGTTATTCATTGCTGTGCTCGTGTGTATCATTCTCTGCCGTGCTGCCGGTTGCCAAACCTGCGCATTTCACCGTATGTTGACTCGTGAGTGGCTACCAGACGTACCTCTGGCCCGAGGTCGCTCAGTCGTCCAGCCACCGTCAGGGGCCGTGTCACCTGTCACCGCCGGCGCTGACGTCCTCTCAGCGACCTCATCGCCGGCGGTGACGTCACTGGTCACCGAGTGGTGACGTCACAGGTCACCAACCGCGGTGACGCCAGAGTACGTATCGCATACGCGGGAAATATATTATTTGTACAGTCTAAGCGGTGACTCTGAACTGGAGGCCCCCGCTCTGCAACGTTTCGCAACTTTCCCATAAAGAACTGCTTACATTTTCATCGTACTACTGAAAAAGTGAAACGTTCGTTAATTAGACACCTCTGTTATCTTGTTGCTATTTATAACTGGATTATGTAACCAATAAGACCAGATCCAACTGCATTTCAGAAGCTGTTTTTTCTTTACTTCTTATTCTCCGTCATTCATCCCCACAGTGATACCCCGTTGTCCAAAAGAGAAACACAATAATGAGCTGGAGAAATCTCCACAGTTTATACGCATCATAAAAGGCGTCACGACCAACGCAAACCACAACACGGGCGAGGCAGAACACCAGCTCTAACTATGCAGGTGCTCGGACAAAGCACGCCCCAAAAGGCAGCTCAACAAGCCACCAGCGAGGTTACACAACTGAGATATGCTCCGGTATTCTAAACAGGCCTACAGATACGCACAATAAACACAATGCATTGTCTCTAAAGTTGACGAGGTACACGACTCGGGAACATTTCAGAAAACCCTAATTACAAAACCACATTTCGATGGAATGCTCTCAGAGGATCCTATGCGTGCACCGCTTGATATGGGGTTTGGTATGTTCGCATTTGACGGCTCCTGCGTTAACTGCGATATGATAGGTACTGAATGCAGATATATTCAAACAGCCGACATCGGTCTCTTATAGTCTTCAGACAAATCTCAATAGAGTAGCTACAAATACAGAGCAATTCATGCATCGAAAATGAGACAGAAAACAACAAAAAAATGACTTCAATACCTTACAAAGTTCTTTTGTAACAATGAAAGAGTAGAAACCTACTCGAATTGTCTAATACAAACAAAACTAATACTTCGAGTCGCTCTCTTTGCGATATAATTTCATAGATCCTGACGGTCGGCAGCTGAGTTGAGCCGCCCTGCAGCGGACGCAGCTGCTAGCGGAGAGCCCATGCGGAGGGCCCGAAACCTTCTATCACAGCTGAGACAGAGCCCCCTGACGGGCGCGGTCCGGTTCCGACCGGCTCGATCCGGTTTGACCCGGTCAAAGGTGGTGACCGCGCCGTCTTGTCCTCAGCCACACACACGCAGACTTGCATACACATACCGTGATGAAAGACAGCGCGCGGTCCACGGACCAACGGCCCCTCCGTCCCTCTCTCCTACCCTCCCGCTGAGCCCCGACCCATACTCTACCCTGAGGCAGCACGAGCTCACCCATATCTATATGCTGGCCTTCTGTAGGTCCCAACACTCAACACCATCTTCGCGACAACTGGACATACCCTCAGGTCACCCCAGAAAACCCCAAACTATCCCTTCTGACCCAGCTGGATCGGTTTACCAAAACGCGACCAACAAACCCAAGCCAAACAAACCTCAGGCCAGCTGAGTGAATGACAAACAGTACACTTCTTCCCAACAGCCCCGCAAACACAAACACACAAACACACGAATACGCAAGCACCTTTTCTGCGTCCTGATCACCTATGAGTCCTTCGAACGCACCGAGTCCGGAATAACTGCATGCCCGGCAGAGTCCAATCCTCATAGAGTCCAGGCTTTATGGTAACAAGTCTGGGTCTCAGACGGCCACAGCTTCCGACCAGCTCTAGGGCACAACAGTGCAGCCACCGAAACGAGTGTCACTGTGTAGTGAAAGCGTCACTCGCTGGTGTCTTCTGAGGCAGCGCTGGCTTCAGTAGTCGGGGACAGGCCTCACGAGGCGAGTGGCCACATCAGTGCCATCTGTAGGGAGAGGAACGAATCAGTAGGCTTCTCTGTGAAACACAATGACCTTAGATTGGAGGTAGCCGAAAGGCATTGACGATGCTTATTTTGAAGCAACAGCTTCCAGCGTCTGTGAAGATATGACGCATAACCACGAGTAAATAATCGTTTTATTGGGCGTACCTCTCATAGATTAAGGCTACAAGCTAAACTTCCCTCTGCATAACACAAAAGTGTGAGTAACTCACCGTAGTCTTCCTGAACTGGTCGGCCCCACGCTGTCACATTTCCCGTAGACTGGCGACTGGCTTCGAAGATGACTGGTAACACAGGACACATACGCATACTCGTCCATACACTCGCACACACACTCACAGGGGCCGGCGCGGGGCAAGCCGGAGCCCATACTGTCCTTCGCTGAGTTTAAGTGGCCATGGAGCCACTGGTACCCCACTCCGCCAATAAATAGTGAATACACTGAAAACGGAGAAGAAGGAAAAGGTAAACATACAATGGGAAAAGCAACACGAATAACGACGATGCATAGCACGAATAGTGGGAAAAGAGCAAATGATCTCGTAAATGCAAAGCTCAAGATATACAAGGTACAAGGTATATCTAGGGCACTGCTTGAACCAAAGCCTCATGGAATGATGAAAGACAGAATCTGAAAAAAATCAGCCAAGATTGATAACAAACGTTAATGCGGTTAGATATCTTCATTGATATGAAAACTAATGCATAATGTTCTGTTCAGCCTGCCACATGTAAGAGCTGATTTGCAGTCAACGGCAGCAATAAAGTACACCTGTGCACTGACCGTTACGTTACGACAGTTTCGACTGGTCGTAGTTCTGGAAAGTCCAGCGTATCCGCTGGTCGAGCGGCGAGCACTCCTGCATGGTGAGCTTCTTCTTGTCTTCGCTGATGCCCAGACAGCGCTTACTCGAGCCGTGCTGGATGTAGTGCGTCTGGGGACAAAAGTGTAATGCAGCTAGTTATAGTTGAGATATGGGAACATGCACTGTAAAAAAAGTTTAGCATTTGGGGTACTAACGGCTGCTATTCGTAGCACCTTTTAGCGTCAAAAGAACCCTACGACGTATTTACAAAGAAGCATGGTGCTAATACTGTGCTAATGATAGCTAACATTCCCATCAAATATTATAAGTTTAGATCACCTATTCTTCTACTGAGCTTAACGTCTACTTCTGCTAGTACCCAGTCCATCAGTGAGTGCTCTTTCAAGCTGGATTTCTAATTAGAACCATTTTAAGTGTTTTAGAAGTTGGTAATGCTGAATATGGTGCTTACGTTAGTATCACAATAGAACCGGACATGCTTACAGAGGAAACAAATTTGAAATTGGCGCCAAAGAAAGTAGCTAAGCCCTGCTTTACAAATCTCTGGGAATCTTATCACCAGCCCTTTTAGCACGTTTTGACGGCGCAGAGCGATATGCGCATGCGCGTGCCAGCTGTTTCCGGCCACGTGTTGCGCCATTTTAGTGGAGTCCGTTGGTCGTGGTGGGAGTGTGTGCACGTGCTCCGGTATATTAAGTGAAATGAAGTGAAGTGAAGTGCTCCGGGCACATGCCACCGAGTGATAGCTCTGGAATGATAGCTTAAATCAGCTATTATCGGTGGAATCCGTCGTGTGTGGCATGGGAGTGCGTGCCCCTGCTCCGGGGGGCAGTGAGGTGGAGGGAAGTGCAGTGCAGCAGTGCAGTGAAGTGAAGTGAAGTGCTCCGGGGCCGGGTGGTACATGAGCACTTGCCACCGACACATGCCACCGACACCGACGTTGATCGACTTTGGTGAGTCTGACACGTTGTATCTTTTGACATTATCTTATATTGTGTAAGTGCTTCATATTCCGACTTTGGCAAATCGCGCTTCTTGGTCTGAAGGAAAGTTGTGTTGTTTGCGAAAATAGCTCCCAACAGAAAAAAAATCTTGGAACTGATCCAGTTTTTTTTTTGCTCCAGGCATGGGGCCTGGTCAGTTCTTCCATCGACTACCACTTACAATGGAGGACAACTACGACAACAACACGGGGTCTCCGGTTCCGTCTATCACTAAACGCCGTCTGGTCGTGGATGAGGTCGAACTTATGGCCATGAACGGAACGTCGGTTCAACGACCCCCCCCCCGCCTCCCCCAGTCGATCTCGCGTTAATCGTCGGTCACTGCGAGTGTGCAGGTATATGAGCGACCTCTCGTTATTTCCCGTGCGTTTGTTTGTGTATATATTTACATTTGTTTTTCATGCAGATGATATGAAGTGTTAATAAATGTTCATTATTATTTTTTAATTTTATAATGTGTTGGATGCTTGAAAGATGCACTTACACGGGAATATTGCAGAATGCAAAACACAATCATTGAGACTTGTAGTTATCACTTATCTAGGATATAACCTTTTTTGCACGTCTTTTCGGCCTTACACAATTTCCTTTTTGGTAATTGATTAGTCCTTTTTGCAGTAACTAGTGAAAGTATGTGCTGCTAAAGAAAGCAGTTTTTGCGAACTTTTCATGCAGCAGCTTTAACTAGTATAGATATTCTTCTTTCAGCCCCAATGCTTTCGTTAGCATTATTCTACTTGTCGTTGGGTAACAATAGCGCTAAAACGGTTCATATGTGAGTACGGAAGGTACTAACTGCATGCTATTCTTAGCACCTTTTAAAGTTTAGCACCGCTAGGGTACTGAAAATTGGTCTAGCAGGTGTAGGGTACTACATTTAGTACACGGGTGCTAAACAAATATGGGTACTTATATTAGCACCTTGATACTAAACTAGATCTCAGTTAAGTATGAATAAAATGCTTAGCTTAGCACCGCTAGGGTACTGAAAATTAGTCAATTGAAAAGTACCTCTATGGTGCTAAACTTTTTTTACAGTGTGTCGACGAAGGGGTCATGATGAATTCACCACGGTCAGAGAAAATCATGTGGAACTCAATTATCAACAATGTGTTTCTCCATCGTTGTTATTGCAAATCACTTTTACCAAATCATGAACCTCAAGTATATTCCTGATCAGTCCCCGTTTTCTAATACATCATTCACCGTTCTGTATGAATGCAACCAACATCTAAACGTCTTAAAATCGCCGAGTAGTCTCCCAAGTCGCCTGGGAGCTGGAGGCTCCGTTGGATCCCGGGAGTTAGAGGCACCCTGCCCCGAAATCCCAAACACAGCTCCTCAGCGAATGTCGCTTCTTCCGCACCTTGGGATCGTAAGTCCAGAACTGGTTGCCCTTGGAGCCGTGACAGGGGTAGAGGACCACCTCTGACCCAGAGTAGTCCATACAGGCCTCGTCACGGCGGATCTCACCCTCCTTACTCAACATCCAGAACTGGAGCGCGGAGAGATACGGAGGGCCGTCAGTGTGGCGTAAGGTATACTTGAGCATTGCGAGCTAAGGCCACATTCAGAAGTGAATGATACAAAGGTATTCCGAGTAGTAAAACAACGATAAAATTAGCCTTTGCGCTTGATAAAATCAGAATATCATGGACGCACTGCAGCAAAACATAAATGTGCCGATTAATTCAACAGCAATACCAGTTAACGCAAAAATGATTGCAATAAAATAATTCTTACTTTATTGTCCTCTATCATCGCATGATCAGTTAGGTAAGTACCTGCCACACCTTGAAGTTCACGGCAAACGTACCTGATTTCCACCTTGTTTGTGGCACGGATACGTCCCCACCGCCTTATACATATCCTTGGGGTCGCATGGAGAGTCCACGCATATGCCCGTAGCCAAGTTTCGCACCTAGCAAGAGCATCATGAACGCCTCGCGTAAGAACACACTCCTTACGGTACAGCCACCGCGACTGCTGCAACATTTATACCGAATAGTTCGTGATTGACTGAGTTTCCGAGCTCTGTGTAGATGTCGCTGGCGTCGCGGTGGCTGCCGGAACATTTTCTGCAGTCTCGTACCTGGTTGCCACCCTGGTTGTGACAGGGGAACAGACCGACAGGTTTGTGAAGGTCCTGGCGCCGCGCCGCGGAGTCCAGGCACGTGCTGCCACCCAGCGCCAGGTTACGGACCTGGGGACGCCAGAGGTCACGCTGCTCAGGACAGGGGTCCGGGTGTGCCGCTGACCTCGGGAGCATGCCCGCCAGCTCTCAGAGTTTATGTACAAGAGGCGTGTTGGTAGTAATGTGCCTTCACCCAGCAAGCGCTGCAATTGCTGCTGATGTTACTATAGAAAGACGTCAAAGACGCTAATTGGACGTTAAGTGCAAAGCGCCGAGCAACGGCCACTCTTATCTATATATTCAAATTTATGTGATATGATACCCATTTGAAAGAAAGGCAGTATAAACCCCCAGCTCGATATCCTGTTTCGTTGTATGTAAGTATGTAGTCCTACAAGGCTCTGCCGTAGAAACTGAGCTGGAAAGTTAGGTAGGCGCACCCATCACGCGAGTTTAACAGTTCCAGGGATTCACCGTTCACCAGTCTGGCTGAAGGATGTCATGTTTACAAATTCACCGCATACCGTGCATGCAGACAAGCTAGCTGATCAGCGATAGCGTTCTAAATTCGGAGCCAAACGGTCGCTATCGCGAGCCATGCGGGGAAAACTGGAGGTGGTTAGTAAATGGATTATGGAACGAGAAACTTAGCGTGAGAAGCGGTAAGGTTTATAAACGAAGAAAATAGGCTCAATGTAAAAGCGGACAGCCTGTTGAGTAGCACACCCAGCATGAAAGATCTGCCGAGCGTAGACAGAATAAGTTTGCTCTTTTCCGAACAGAAAGCGTTGGACAAGTACCCTTTTTGCGAGGGGTTGTCACTCAAGACATAAGCGTATGCCAGGTGGATGCCACCTTCCTCCGGGTGGACTTCATGCAGCGACCGATGACGTCATATAAAGACGTCACAGTATATGAGGGGCGAAAGCGTGGACCGTGCAGGGGAGGAAGGGAGGGGGAGAGCGTGACCTCCGGCGTCCCTTCGAACGGGGCCAAACTCGGATCATCCAGCCAGGGTGGCAACCAAGACGTCTCAAAATAGCAACACGGCTTCTCAAAATACGATCGATACTAGCGATCAGCCAGTAAAAATACAGAGCTGTCTGACAAAAAGGATCATTCATGTCACAGAGCACAACACAAAGCACCAACGACCCCACAAGCAGATTCAAAAGGAACACGTCCAATTGTAAGACTCTGAAGATGATCCATGGCCCAATCTTACCAATGCCGTGAATGCGCATTTCACGGCTTTTGGTAACATTCAGAACTATTCCGCATTCACTTATTCATTCTTTCAGACAACATTCATAATCATTCACGCTATCAAAATCATTGGACAAGATTAGCTGGATGTAAATAAAAAAGATATCATTGATATCAGTGCCGTAAACTCCGGCCAGTGCTGCCAAATCCTATTCACGGCATTGGTAAGATTGGGCCCATGTTCCATGTGGATTGCAAACATGACATATTTTGTTTGAGCTCGAAGTAAACTTGCATCATTCAGCGTTGCAATCGGATTGAAGTCTCTGATATGCCATATTGGAGTGTTCCTTTCAAATCAAAATACAGTTCACTTATATCCCATGCAACATGTCAAGCCCAAGCCATCACAGACAACTGCTAGTCACATTTCCATACACTTTTTGGGAGGAGAGGGGGTGATGATTGTAATGACGTCACTAATCAGTCCTCTACTGGTGCATATAATAAATTAATCCCACATTTCCGGAAAACTAAGCTTAGCAGCCTGATGCATCGTCAAACTAATTAAGTCTTTACTGCTGGATATGGGGACTTGAGGAGCAGTCGCAAAACAAGTAGCCTGCAAAGTGCAGCGGCCGGCACAAAATGACCTACTTCCGGGAAACAGCAGCAGCAAAACTTATGTGAGGAGCATAACAGTAAACGTGACTTGCGACTTATTACGGCAGAAAAAAGACAACAGCATTCAAGGTAAATGGACAAAATAACCTCGCAATACCAAACGCAACAAAGCAATGTTCGCTTTTATCGAAGCTACTAATATAGCAAATTTTAGTTCTATGTAGATGCAACTCGAATGCCATCATATCCATCAATTATCTCGCCGATGTAACTTTCCAGGCACACGCCTGAAGCGCCGCCCTCCAGTGCAGAAGGCCTACCTCTCCGCTGGCCACCGCCTCTCCGGGTATGAAGAGCTCCGGGTAGACGGTGTCGAGGAACCAGCGGAACGACTTGCAGCCCAGCCTGTCCCTGATGGCCTTCCGGGACGTGACGTCGCCGTAGTTACCCTGCCGTCAGAGATAGAGGGTTGGGGTGTGTTACGGCAGGACAGACGGAGAGACGGATTCAATAGCGATCGGGAAAAGCGAAAAGGGCGAGTAGGGAACAACAACAAACTTAGCCAAAAGCATAGGAGTAAGAACCATATCAAACCCGTTATCTAGATCTCATATCGATGAAAATACTCGATGAGATGAGTCGAAAGAGACGTCTTCAATTTCATTCACATCCTTTAAAACACACTCGGGTTAGCCATACAACACCTTTTATCACACTTCCGCCACTGCACGGACGCCACTCAATTTTCAATTTTGTAAGCATATAAACCTCACCATGTACTCACCGTATCGTATCCTATCCGCTGGTAGTAGTACTTTTTGTAGTCGTCCATCCACACCTCGGCCAGCCGCACGCTGTTTCGGCGCAGCACGTTCACTCCGGAGCGCCACTTGTACGGCGAGCGCTTCCTGAAGATGTGGCCCACGTGGCTACAGGGAACGATCTCCAGACGGCCGCCGCACATCCACGTCTAGCGGAGGGCGCACGGGTCAGAATGGGGACAGAAAGGGGTTAGATGGGGTCAGACAGGGTCAGATGGGGTCAGATAGGGGTCAGATAGGGTCAGATAGGGTCAGATACGGTCAGATGGGGGTCAGATGGGGTCAGACGGGTCTGACAGGAGAGAGACGGGTCAAACAGGGTTATGGTCAGTCAACAATCAGGTAAACCTGACAAATTAGAAAAGAAGTCATCGTTGAGGCAACGTGTTACTTATCCACGTATCCATCATATTGCTTGCGCCAACATTTTCCCCAAATGGAGTTTCATTACACGTGCACCATTTTTTTCGTCACGTAATAATTATATTACTCCACATTACACTACAGGTGGCTGCCAAATATGCTATAAGTATAGACAATAGAGTGCCTTTCCCATCTGATGTGTAATCCCACTTATCCAACACATGACCAAACCATGACGGTGGGCATTGCAGCCCGTCTCTATCCTGTGCCTACAGCACAGCACACTCAACTACCACGTACCATACGTCATTACACCGTCATAAGTCAGCCCAGTGCCAGTTCTCCACCCAAACATGGGTAAGTGCCGCTCATTCGCCGCATCAATCAAAGCAGTCAGCCCGCGACAATGGTCATACAGGTCCATAAAGAAGCCACCCAATGACCGTAATTGGGCCATGAAAAGACGATGCGGTAAGTGTAATTATTGTTCATGTCCGCTTCACTAAATCAAAGAGCAAATCACTCCCTATTTACTACACCATGCCACGTACCGGCTAAAATGAACTTTTGACTAAAACAAGCAGGCAGCAGCTGCATCTCACAAAGCCTCTGCAGCATTGACTGCAGCAGTAGCCCTGTTTCCCTCCCCTCATCCACCGTAACACCTTCTCAGCCAAAGTTGCGGCTCAGGCGGCACAGCAGTGCCCAATGATGCTGATCAAGCCAAACACGGGCGGTATAAGCTGGAACTCAGCGGGGCCAGTGCTGAACAGGCGCCCCGTGGACAGTTGGTGAACGGAATGGAGTGGAGAGGGAGTGGGAGAGTAAGAGGGACCTGAGGCCGCACAAGCAAGAGTAAACAAGTAAGCAACAAGTAAAAGAGAAAGTAAAGAGAGTAGGAAGGACAAATTTTATCTGCTCTCTATGAGGCTGGGTGAAAATGTGATGCGCCGTTTAGAGTTGAACGTGAAATTATCATAAACACATATTACAATCGAGTAAAATAGACAGTGTTCCGACGTCGAGTCTTTGTGTTTTGAGTCCTATTGGGCCTGCTCGGGTGCAGAAGTCCACCCTCTGCAGAGGCACCGACTGGACGTACTCGTATTTCACAGCACTGCGGTTGGAGTATAGCATATCGAATATTGATGGCTATTGGCTAAGTATGACTGCCAGGCTTTGGTAGAAACGTCAAACCAGTATCAATTATAAAGATAATTCAAGACGGCCTGCGAAAGAAACCTACACCTATCCGAGAAAGTAGAAAGAATATCAATTTCACCTGCCGTCTAAAACGTAAATTGCCTGTCACTGAAGTTTTGCTAACCCTTCAGCTGCAAGCTGGCTGTTTTCAGCAGGGCTGCGGAGTCGGAGTCGGAGTCGGAGTCGGAGTCGGTCAGAGTCGACAGTTGTGACCGGAGTCGGAGTCGGAGTCGGAGTCGATTTTAGAAACCCGAGCCGGAGTCGGAGTCGGAGTCACCGAAAATCTGTCGACTCCGCAGCCCTGCTAGGTCTGCGGAGTCGGAGTCGGGAGTTGGAGTCGGTCGGAGTCGACAATTCTGCCCGGAGTCGGAGTCGGAGTCGGAGCTGGTTTTTGAAAGCCAGAGTCGGAGTCGGAGTCGGAGTCGCCGAAAATCCATCGACTCCGCAGCCCTGGTTTTCAGTATAGTCATTTCTGATTTCACTCTTATCAGCCATCGCCAGAAGTCGCCTGGATCTAATATCACACCGGCGACCGGCCACCGAATATCCCTACGAGCCCATCCCCCACCTAACTCCTCGCACTCGAGCCAACCCTCTCACCTGTGCTCACACTGAAGCCAACCGTCTCACCCATACTCGCACTCCAGCCCACTTTCTCACCTACGCATATCGCACTCGAGCCCACCGTCTCACCTATACTCTTCTCGCAGGTTCTCACCTTGAAGCTCAGCTCGAGATTCTCGCCTCCCCAGATGTCGAAGCCCTCGTCGTAGGTGCCCAGAGTCTCGAACCACTTCCTGTCGATGGCAAACAGACCTCCAGCCATGGTCGGGGACGCCACCGGCTCCGAGGGATGCGAGTGCAGCCGCTTCTCCCGGTCCGGGATGGCATGCCAGTTGAACTGCAACAGGCGGAGATGGGCGGGTGGTCAGTCAATCGGTGATAGGTGTCGCTAATCCCTTTTCAGTAACATACGTTTACTCTCAGAGCCCGTTTAATGAAGTTCATCCTAAGAGCATCACTCCTTCAGACGGCGTGCTTGCTCTTGTTTTTCGTTCCACGGAAGCGATTTTATCCTAGACTGCGTGTCTAGCGGTACTCAAACAAGGCGGCGACATCATGTTTGTTCCGAGCCAACAAAATCAAAGCGAACGGACGGGAAGTCATAACATTACAAAATGTGACCTCGAAACAACAAACCAGGCAGCAAATAAAGAAAACCTGGATTGACGCTTAAATATACCCCACCGGCTTTACAGCATATATCGAAGCTCTAAAAAGCGATATACATATACAAATGGCCACGAAAAATCGTTGGTTTATTACATAACTTAAGTTTTAAACATCGGTCACAAAGCATTAAAAATGTTAATTGTACACAGCAAATGTCCATGATTCCTTCTCAGGAGTCAGGGGCCGACAATTATTGGTAACGCCGCTTGCCTTTTGCTGTATCACTGAACGTAATAATGTCTAATTACGGAGCGAGCGAAGCGAGCGTAGTCTTTCCTTAGATTAACGGAAATTTCTGAGTATGAGCGGCCGGCCGGCCGGCCGGCCGGCCGGCCGGCCGGCCGTGGTCACGCTTTTGCGAGGCTTATATCTCAGCAACCACTTGACCGATTTACACGCGGTAATTTTTGTAGGGTAGCTTCATTCCTTCTACCAAGTATTGGACTATTCCCGATGCATGTGGGTGACCCCTTATGCACGTGCCACGTGCAAAACGAAGAGGTGTCACTTTTGTAATTGTTGCAATATCTCGGTAACTACTTGGCCGATTGCGCTGAAAGTTGGCATGTAGGTAGGCACCCACTAGGCACTGCATATACATGTGCCAGAGTTGGGGTGCTGCTGCACGTGCGCACGTGCAGGGGTCGTTTCCAGATCTCGGGAACGGCTGGACCGATTGCGCTCAAATTTGGTACACGGTTAGGGACCGGTTAGTAGCGTGCCGTGCACAAGTCAGTTGGGACCCATTTTGCACGTGCGCACGTGCAGGGTGCCGCTTCCAGATCTCGAGAACGGCTGGGCTGATTGTGCCCAAATTTGGCACATCGCTAGAGACCGGTTAGTAGGGTGCCGTGCACAAGTCAGTTGGAGGTACCCCCTCGCAATTTCGCACGTGCAAGGCCCACCCTCTCGCTCGCTCCGTTAGTCGCCCCAAAAGGCGTTTTACTGGTGATAGCATATCACACGAAACAAATCAGAGTTCAGTAAAAATATGGCACAACTCGTTCCCATTACCAACACCTTACAACACATTCACAGGGCAAGATTACTAGAACCTATCACAGGGTATGAGCCCGATGTCGTGGGATTTTCACTGGCTTCACCGCGCATCGTCAACCAAGGAGACCTTCAGGACGATGCGCTTCAGTTGGACAGCTTTATTGAATGACGGACACAAATTATAGAACTAATAACTCTAGCCCGCCGCAACGAATACATGACCATAAATGTGTGAAAGAACGCTTTTAAATAGACACAAAGACACATGCCTTACTAAGCGCCTTTCTGTAAATAGCGTCATGTAAATCGCTATGTTTAGGTTATTTTTTGTAATTATCAATCACTCTTTGATGAATATAAGACTAAATGTAAAGATGAGCCGGTAGTCACCAGTCGAGCCCTGCGACTTTCCCAGAAATGCCTATGAAGAGACTCGAGCACGCATTTAGCCAAATGACAGCGGCAATGAGCCGAACTGCAAGCAAATGCAGCAAGTCAGCTGGTGTTTAAAGACGAATCCATTCTGGGCACGCTAATCCGCCCGTAACTGCACAGTCGATAAAATCCAGATCCACACAAATGTTCATTCCGCATGAAAAGGTCGACTAAAAGGAAGTTTCAAGCTGTTTAATTTACCTCGTCACTGACACGAATAAACACGTCATTAAACGTAAATTTTGATCACGACTTCGCTGATTTCAGCATGCAGAGTGCATTTGCTAAGCCCCATACCTACCATCAACACAAAGTCATTACCGTACATTTGGAAGTTAGGGTCCCAAACAAACTCCATTAGACCCATAGCAACACCATTCAGCGGCGACCACAACATTAAAAAAAAAAACGGCCGATGGGCAAGCGAATTCAATGCCAACTCCGCACAGCAGTGGCCAAAACAAATCCGACAGCGCAGACCGTTCATATAGCAATGCTACATCGCCTCTAGCAGCCCAACCAAGTTTGAGTAGCGCTCTGCCTCGAACGGCTACCCACGAGTCTATAACATACAAAATGACAAACGCAAACACGGGGGTGCTAAAATCTGCAGAAAGCGACAATCGGCGATTCGTCGCTGCTAAAATAATTATGAGTTTTTTCTTCATATCCCGATGAAAAGACTACGGCTTTGTATTGTATTGTATTGTACAGGGTGTTCGCGAAAATATGTCATGATTCTAATCGCTTTGTAGGAAAAATTGCTTGAACGCACGTGCACGTATTTATGCCCATTTGACAGAGGACATTTTCAAGTTTTCTTTCATATGCATTTTAATTTATAATATTAAAAATATTGCCTTGCACAGAGCGAAAAACAAATATCGCCAAAAATACTTGGATTCGATGCCCGTAGTTTCCATGCTACAACAGTTCGGTGCATGCTTTGATGCCTCCGCTGCACCCCTTGCAAGGCGATCTTTTTTTACTGCACATGCAACTTACTACCAAAGTGATCGTTAAAAATCGAATGAATCCTTGAAAGGCCGAGAAAAAGATTTTTTTTATAGTCATTTAAACTACAAAGAGATCACCCATTTGGTCAACGAGATGCCTTCCCTGACCATCTGCGAGCTCGCGCAAGATGCAGGGTGCGGTACAACATGTCTCATTATATTATTGATAATGACATGGGGATTATACCCTACAAGGTCAGGAATCAATAGGTGCTATTTAGGGTAGAAAAGGGCTAAGAATTTACTTTGCTTCGAGGATAAAAAACCCAAATCAATTCTGAGCACCGCTCACCGGCCACGCCCGGTCAACCAGTGAAGCACATATCCACCTTCATGGAGGCGCCGACGGCCAGAACAAACGGTTTGGGTAGATATGCCACCCTCAAAGGCTAGGTAAGAACACCAGCTCCACAGTCCGAAGGTCATTGCTCGATTTGCGATAGACGCTCATGGTGCCGCGAGGCCTTCTTCTTAAGACTTCAAATTGGAACACCAACATTGCCGCTGAAAACTGCTGCGTGGGAGTGCTCTAGAAGTTTAAGCGAGAAATGTGGGGCAACTCGGGGCAAGACAATGGTCAAAACGCTGCAGACATGCGCACAGGTAGGATGGGTTCAAGTCCACACTTCGAAAATTGCACTCCGGTGCCTAAACGAAATGCTAGGGCCCGTTTCTTGAGCAGGAGGACCCTTACCCCCTGGTCGACCGCTCACTTGGTGTCAACCCCATCGGCCGTTACCTGTGGGATATCTGAAGTCCAAGGACTACAGGAAGACAGCCAATAATCTGTCTCGGCTGATGATAGTGATTGCAAAGGCCGTCCGTGTTATCACTTCTAACACGTGCGTGCGAATGAACCCTTATGTGTAATCTCTAGGTGACACGTGCATCCGCCGAAAAGGGGTTCATATTGAAAACATGGCGTGTGGGGTGCGCCCGGTTTGACATGAGGCACTGATACATGTGTATAACAAAACTTGAATATCCGGGCAACACATTTCAGCAAGACATTTGATCCTTGCTTATTTGAGCTGGCGATAATGGCGTAACGAAATCATGACATATTTTTGCGAACACCCATTACATTTAAGAGCGATCCACATACAGAGTGCGTGGCGATTACTGCTCTGTAATCGCCACGGCGATTACTGCTTTGGTCTTTGAACCTAATCAATGAATAGAATAGGGTAATAGGGGTATGTCAGTGCAGTGGGTATAGGACGAGGTGGGTCTGAGCCTGAGGGTAGGGCACGGTGCCGGGTGGGACGTTCCCGGGGATAGCCTTGGTTCCCTGACAGAGTCGCCGTCCGTGAAATTCGCTGGGCAATCAATCAGCCGCGGTTGTTGGGTGGACGGGCTAAAACAGGCGGTGGGTTTGAGTTAAGTTGAGTCGTGGTAATAAGCAGTGACCATACCAGATAGACCAAAGTAAGGAAGTGTACTCGCAAGGGCAAACTCATTTTCCATACAGTATACACAAAATATGACCGATTTGTTAGAACGAACGCCTTTCAGCAAGCAATAAATAAGGAAAACATGCAACCTGCAAGCTATGAGAGGTGCAGCACAATATTTATGATCATTGACGGATTCATTGCATCGAAACATATATGAGCCAATACGCCTACCTATGAGTATGTTGCAACCGTTCACACTCTGCCACTGTTCTTTTTGGGGTCATGGTTTCATCGACACAAAAATAAACCGTTTCTGTCATTTTTGGTAAAACCACTTCTGAACAATTTTGATCCGTGCGTTGAACAAGCGACACAATTTCTAAGGTAGGTAGGTACTTATTTGTGAGTATGTAGTTATATCTGAGGTAGCGTGTGAATAATTACAGCCAGCTGGACACTTGGTTGGCGAAGGTTCGGTCAAAACAAGTTAAGGCAACAAACATTTAAGTCAGATCGATCGCAATATCTCAAAACCGACAAATTGCCTCACAGCCAAACACAAGGCCACCTTCGTATGCTTCCGAGCGGACCGTCAAACATAGGCAGCCCGCGCGGGAACGCAATACCGGCCGAAGCCGCAGGAAAACACCGGTTGGGGCCCAGCTACGGAGACTACATTTAATCAATTACACAGTTCAGAGCGGTGCTATTCAATTCCAGTTCACTTTTCCGCCGCGTGGCTTAACTCAATCTCGTCTTTCTGCATTCATTGACTGTCTGAGAACAAAAATACCTCTCATTCGGCGAGATGAAACCAGCGCGCGGCGCCGATGGATAAAAGAAGGCTTCATTTACATTCTGAGCCCGCGAGGCCGGGGCGAGAAACGATTCCCACTAATCCTGCCGAGAACCGCTGCTATATGAGCTCCCTGGGGGATGTGAAACTGCAACTCAACTGATGGAACACATAGACAACGGGCGGCTGAGGCGGTAGAAGTGTGAAGTTGCCGTTGACGTCACCGATTTCAGAGACGTATGCTGTTTTTTTCGCATCGTGATTGGTTTTTCTTAGGATCTTAAAAAGAGCGCTTATCACAATTCAAGCTTTTGTAAGATTCATCTTCTTAGCCCCACTCCCCCAACGGCCAACATCCAACACCCAACATCCAACACCCAGCACCCAACACACACTGCACATTGCACACATATCACTAGCCAATTTCCCTGAAAAGGTAAGGTACTATTACCAGTCAGACTGACCTGCAGGTTCCAGTCGAAGCCGCCCACCGAGGTTCCCGAGGCCTTCTGGTAGTGATACTCCAGCGTCGTGTCATCGATGACGTCAATCACGGGACACACCACTGTAGTACGGTTTTTGGCAATCTCGTCCAACAGCGGCTCCAGCCAGCCTGGCAATGACGGAAAGGTTGATATGTTAGCTAGGGTAGGGTGGGGTAATTTGAACATGTGGGGCAATTTGAACATAGTGTGAATAACAGAAAATTACGGAAAATCCATAAGTGGCATGACAATAAGACCAATGAGAGAAATTATCGTTACTAAAAGGGCTATCATATGAACGGGGTTTAAAGTTTCAGGGAATGAAGATGTTGACGCACAGTGTAAAAAATCAATTTCGCAAGGAAAAACGCCTAACAACACGTCATTGCAACTTCATTGCAGCGCAAAATCTTGCATTGCTAGCGCCTAATACGCAACGGCTTTTGTTGTATAATGACCTAATCAGTGCCTTCAATCCAAGAAATTTGCTTTTGAACCCTGTTTTTTAAAATGGCAAAATAACTTTTAGCGTGGGGTAATTTGAACATAGTGTGAGAATTTGAATGAAGACAGGGATAGCTCCGAAAAAACAACGCTCCCGGTTTTTTTTTTGCCAATATTTTCGACCCAAGGCAGTAGCAGATAAGTGATGCCAGTTTTAGAAAATTTACGTCTAATATCCGTCTTATGTCCGGCATTGTTGTTGATTTTCCGTCCAAAAATGTTAAAGTCAACTACACCTTTTTGCACTCAAAATAGGCATCTTTTCATTCAATTTCGGCGAATTGCATTCAATTTTAGCGATCTCTCATTTGCTTCGAATAGAGAGATCGCTAAAATTGAATGCAATTCGCCGAAATTGAATGAAAAGATGCCTATTTTGAGTGCAAAAAGGTGTATTTGTCCAAATATGTCCGAAAATTATGCAGCTATCAACACTCAAAACCGTCATTTTTATTGCTTATCATGTAATTTTACCAGCCGAAAAGAGTTCATTATATTAAGAGCTTAACAAGCTTTCCATTCGCCAATCAATGCTATGCACGATCTATATTATAAATCCTAAAAAGTCCGCCGCCCACGCCGTCGGGGTTACTCCCTAAAAGGCTTATTACGGCGCCGTCGATTGACGCAGGAGGGTGGAATTTTCACGACTAGTGGGTCACGTCATTCAACAGGTCGTATTAAATTTTGGGCACGATGCGGCCGGGGGTGCGCCCGTGGCGCGTGCTCATGTGCGCCATAGGGTTAACATTAAAAACGGCAAAAACAGGCTATTGCTCGGGAACGGTAAGGGCTACGGGGCTGAAATTTTCGCTACAAGTCGAGCGCGTGCACTCATTTGTCGTATTAAATTTTCGACGGTGTGGGTTCAGCGGTGTGCACGTGGTGGGGCCGCGGCCGGCGCCGAGCAAAACGCTCGTGCTGTAGGCTCAGTTGTTCGCTTAAAACTGACTGGAAATAATCAGAGCCGGCAGGTCATTGACCTTTGACAACGAAGGCCGACACAAGGCACCGCTCGCCAAGGGGATTCGCCAGTAAATACAATGAATTTATTTTGCAATATCTCAGCCGTTTCTGGGCCGATTTAGCTGAAACTTGGACTGTCGGTGGTAGTGTAGGGGTAGGGTAGGGTAGGGTAGGGTAGGGAAGGGTAGGGTAGGGTAGTTTAGGGGTACCTAGGGGTAGGGTAGGGTAGGGTATAGGGTAGTGTAGGGGTAGGGTAAGGTAGGGTAGGGTAGTGTAGGGGTAGGGTAGGGTAGGGTAGGGTAGGGGTAGGGTGGGTAGGGTAGGGTAGTGTAGGGATGGTGTAGGGGTAGGGTAGCGGTACGGTAGGGGTAGGGTAAAGGTAGGGTGGGGTAGGGTAGGGGTAGGGTAGGGTAGTGTAGGGTAAGGTAGGGTAGGGTAGGGTAGGGTAGCGTAGGGTAGGGTAGTGTAAGGGTAGGGTATGGTAGGGTAGTATAGTGTAGGGGTAGGGTAGGGTAGGGGATTGTAGGGTAGGGTAGGGTAGGGTAGGGGATTGTAGGGAAGGGTAGAGTAGGGTAGGGTAGGGTAGGGTAGTGTAGGGGTAGGATAGGGTAGGGGTAGGGTAGGGTAGGGTAGGGGTAGGGTAGGGGTAGGGTAGGGTAGGTTAGGGGTAGGGGTAGGGTAGGGTAGGGTTGAATTGAGTAACATCCTAACTTACAAAGGGCTCGAACAACTCGCATGCATCACCATCATACTTTATAGTTCAATTAAAAGCAGTTACCCAGTTCTACACAAATAATACCAATAAAAATGCAAGTTTCTACACCCAAACTAATGCATCAGTTAATCATACATATCAAAACATACAGTTATCGCGTAAACCTGTACCTCTAGTTACTTTATAAAAAGCGCTGAAGTGTAGCAAGCCATCGTCCAATGTTGTCCAGTCTGCTACCTTTGTCCAACCAATTCCGAATTGGACATTGGACAAAATCAGAACTCCAAATGTCCAGGTTTCGATTGGCACCACTTTAACAGATGTAGTACGGTTGGGAGAGTTTTTATCGAACAAAAATGATAGACGTTCTGTTAATTGAAGAGGGGCGAATTCTGTCAACTGACCGGTGTGCAGCGTGCAGATATTGATACTCTGCAACTGTTATTTTTGCTGTTGTGTTGATTTTTCAAGTGAAGGTATGTTTAGAATTGTTCTGCCTATTTGTTTATGGGTCAAACAACATCGGTGCTGGCGAGACTATCGTTTTTATGACCGGTTAAAGGCAGTATGTTCAAATTACCCCACGGTGGGGCAATTTGAACACACCGTGACTTGGTGGAGAAGTGAGGCTATGCTATTCAAGGTATGCTCGGCTCGTCCAAAAATGAGGCTTGCATGGTGAAAGCAAGTGACACTTGCGCTACTGAAGCAGTTTTTCTTCATCCAGGGTTGAACTGGAATTTGGTACAACGGAGAAGACGTAAAAATATGTTCAAATTACCCCACACTACCCTAATAGATAGAGAGATCCAAACACCACATTCGCACTACCTACTCAATTTGTACGACGGCTAATGTCATGCATGTGACATCCGTTTAGAGGCCAGTTCCAGTATGGTTACAGGAACGCATAGGATTTAGGAAATGAAATTTCTTCGCTCGCAATCCGAATAAGAACAACATGATTGCATTGACCTTAGTCAGGCGACAATTGGCCGTTGCATCATGGACGGTGTTTAAGTTCGTCTTTATCCGCATGTATCAACGTCATCCAAACACAGCCTCTGAACTGCATCTGAGACACCGAACCGAGTCGACGTCTCCCTCTCTGTCGCGGCGTCATTTCACTCCCACGAGCACATTTTACGGCTCCAACATGCCCCGACATCAGCCGCCACTGCATAAATCATCCCCGGAAGGCCAGAGACCCTTCCCCGCAGCGTAACGGGACGGGCGTGATGGCCCAGCAACGTCAAACAAAAGTCATGTGTCGGATAACATTGTGTCATCCAAGCACGAGATCGCCGAAGCTCTTAGGATAAGTGGGACCATCTGTGCGGATGCATGGTGGATTACTTGAATAATCAGCCATGACCAGTGCCAGTAGAAGCCGGTTGGATGGCCGGACAATAAAATACCGCAGTTGATGTTGCAGATAACCCTAACTCGGTACCCTTCCTGTTGGTTCTACAGATACTTAGCTACTGCTACAAAAATCTAGTCACATAGCTGTCGCTAGATGTCACTACGGTGTGCGCCTGAAGCTATGCTGTACCGCAATCTCCGAACCTATGTTGTACCGCTGCCGCTAGATGTCTTTGCAGTATGCGCCTGAAGGTATACTGTACCGCATAACATATGCGAGCGATGTAAATGAAACTCACAGCACAACAAGTCTTTTTGACTGTTCGCCTGTTCACCTGCACTATGACACGTCAAAACCGGCATGTAAGTGTTACAGATGTCCCGTACGCTTAAAGAAACACCTGTGGCAAGACAACCGTTTAACCCGAGCGGAGACACCTTTTATGTGCAAACCTGTATCATCAGCACAAATCAATACCGAAACGTCTGCATGTGATCCTCAATCGCCATCCCACTCCTCCATTCACCAGCGTGCGACGTGGCACCTCTCTTCTGCATCAAACGGTACACATGTGGCGCCGAAACCACCCAACTCGCCGCAGATAGGTTATACCTTTTCCATCAAACAGGCGTCAAGTCGCCACGCGGCGAGTCCCGGAATTCCAATCGCGATACTATTCACCGCTCTTCGCGCTTCATTTATCTCCGCTCTTCGAGGGGAGAGACGAAAAAATATGACAGCGAGCATTGTGTGTCGCCGGGAATGAGAGTTCGAGCGCGAGAGGGACTATAGAGAGTGGGTGTAAAATGAAATTATGAATGGAAATTATTAAGGAAATGAGAGTTAAATTTAGCGGGATGAAATGAAGACAGCCATTGATACGAGGCTAAGACCAAAGCTCAAAGCAACTGAAGGGAGAGGCAGTCCGTTGCCGCGGGTCCGCCGTTTTATTCCACCGGGAGGGGCGCGGTGGCGGAGACAGATGTGACGCAGTTCGCCGGCCACATCCATTTCCGGCGCAGTGTGCCACCGCGGCCGCCACCTAATGCTTTCAAAACAAACGTTTAGAAGTTGGACGGCGTAAAAACAATAAAGTTTGACGTTTGATAAAGCAGCGACCGGTGCTCCTGTGGATAGCGGGGAACACTGCTGATTGAAAACGGAGACTTTCCGTGAGGAGAAGATAGCGGAAATTTTAGAAAGTCGTGCCGGAACTTTTCAGAAGTCATCATCAAAGAGCTGACAGTAGTTCGGGATGGAAGATCAACTGCTGGACAGATGGGGAGCCAATGAATGATAAATACACATCCTCGGGACAAACAAAGCCTAAGAGATATGGTTGTGGTGATGCAGAAATTCACGAATGAATACGCTAAAAATGTTGTTATTTAATTATTCGCTTCCATAGCGAATGTCCAACCATCTACCATCTAATGACCACTTGTTTGCAAACATGAAATATGGGAGGAAAATTATGTGTTATCTTAACTTAATATTCTCACCTAAACACCTATAGCCCACTAGCCCACTTTAGCCCACTCTTGGCCCACAATAGCCCCTTCAGCACAAACCACCCACAGAAAAGCTTCAAAGCAGCCCTAAACTACCTCACACCCCGACTAGCCCCGGCACTGATCCTTCATTATATCCAACACCTCATTAGCATTCAGTGGGGCGTCGTGTCGGTCGGCGGGTGTGGTCGAGACCGACGGGGGACAATGCGGGGTCTTTAGCTCGAACGACGCGCCTCAGTGGGGGCTCGGTTGGGCCAGGTACAGCACCGTTCATTGAGGATAACACACGCGACGGGAGGCCCGCCCAGGCCGTAACGAGGCTAACGGTGTCGACAGACAGTGGAGGGGGGGGGGGAGGGGGAAAAAAACGTACGTCTAAAGAGAATGCATGGGTGATTGCTGGTTATAGACTGAACAAATCATCTGGTGCCAATTCTTGCATAGCATCTTTCAGTGCTAAAATATCAAACCCACGGTATTCGTGAAGCACAGTACGCACCATCTATCCTGATGCTCCATTTTTACATACCTTCTGTGCACTCGCAGTGACTGTCCAGGTAGGTCAGCACATCCGCCGTGGCGTGGCGAGCCCCCAACAGACGGGCCCGGATCAGACCCTCCCTCTTCTGAGCGCGCACCACCTTCACCTTGGGGTACTGGGCCATGTAGTCCTCCAGCGGCTTCCCGATGTGCTCTGGAAGAGGGAGGAGCAGAGGTCAGAGCAAGGGACAGTGAAGAGCGGTGGCCTGGCTGAAAAGTTGCATAGCTTAACGAGTACAAAGTGTGTAAAGCAAGAATAAAATGACTGAAGTTCATAATTTTGTTGTGCTGCCTTGACGACTAAGTTTCATGACAGAACGATCCTTTTGGGATAAATGGTCACATAATCATCATACAGTAAACATACACAATCGAATACAAGGTAGCATCACATACGGCATCGGTATCACAGTTAGCTCATTCGTCCCCTTTCCCCGCGACCGGGCAGCATAGGTCAATCAACCACCGACCATCCCAATGCCGTTTTCCAGTCTGTCTGCAGTGATGACGCGATCATTGCGAATGCCGGCCGACCGCCAGTCACCCACTGTTTACATTGAGAGACGTGCCGAGACGTACGAGCCAAGCGTAAATGACTGAGCGACGCATCAGGCGGGGGATGGGGAGGGGATGGGGAGGTGGGGGGACTGGGGTTAGGGATGCCACAACACCGCAATGGTATTGAAGAATACTCCCCCGCGGCTCAAATATTCAGGGAGGTTTATACTTGATATATAAATTATACCTTTGGAGAAACATATAGCAGGTTAAATATCCAACATCAACAAAACGTTCATGAAAGAACGTCGTAAGACAATATCTAGTCTAGCTGTACCGAGCCACTGGGTAAATCGGAAGGCCCTGGGTTCGACGTCTCGATAACATGAAAGCAGCATTGTCAACAGCAGTAATGTAATGCTAAAAAGAAGTCACTGTAGACGATGACACGCTAGTAGCCATTGCATGATTGCGATCACAAAGGAAGCCGGCATCACGAAATGAAACTGTCATTGCCGTGAATATTGACGGCTGTGCAATTTTAGCAGTTTACAGCGATGAGCCCTACACCCACCCCCAGTGGTTGACTCGTGTCCTGTCCATTTGAAACCGTGACTTCAGAACAATGCGGCAAGAGTCATCCGTCTGAAAAATAGTGTAGACGATGGATGCCACCGAACGCGCAACATTCCGACGCCTTCGGATTACATCCGTCCGGTTCCATAATCAAAGTGAGTGTTTAAAAAATTCAGACGATGGCCCAGGAAATATGCGTAGCTAAGTACATATGTATGCTCAATGCTCACTGGTGCTGTCTTAGAATGAAAACATATTGTCCATCACACAAGCTTTTTCCTAGAACAAACCAAATAATTGATATTGCCCACATCACTCACACCAATTTCATTTCACTCCGCCTCTAAATTGTTAATTCCCACTACCGGAACTGAATGCCCATGCGGTGCGACCATTGGCTGACATCCAGTGCCCCTCCCTGGCCCGCCCTCGTTTCCTTACAGCGCCCCTCCCCTTGGACCGCACCAAGCCCCACCCAAGCCTCCCCCACCCCATACCAGCCAGGATCACCACGATCACCAGCACGTGGCAGCATTATTAACCAGGTGGTGATTTGGTGACCAACGCCCCTCCAGTCAGTCATTATATTAACTAAGGCGCGGTTCACGTTATGCCCCTCCAGTCAGTCATTATATTAACTAAGGCGCGGTTCACGTTATGACTGTCGGTGACAGCTGCACTGGGATGGGTGATTTAAGTCCGACGACCAGCACTGACCCGATCTCTGCGCCATCCAGTCCCCATGTACGGCCCTTAGGGTGATCATTAATAGAGGAACACCTGGTTGGCCGAATGCTTTACGACGCACCATAAGGTTCCACTGAAAAGGAGACAATGAGTTGTTGACATAATATCTGCGTATATCCAGGTGCAAAAGGTATCCAGGTGCAAAAGGCACGACACTCATCTAGGAAATAATCATGGAAAGATGGATATAATTGAGTGGAACTATGCAGGAAGACCTAAATATGCAATGGAATAACCTCGCGTGATATCCTGCCGTTTATGCAAGTTCGCATGCCGTTGGCACGGAAACAGACAAAACCTGGCGACGCAGTGACCCAACAAAGTGGAGGCAAGTCACTGGCTAAATTAAATGCACCGAAATACGTGGTTGAATAAACTCGACTTTGTCTCGGTGATTTATTCCGTTCCGAAATCGTTTGACACGCCGTACGGTGAAACTAAAACGTTGGAAAACGTTGGAAAACGTTGAACCAGAAATCGCGCCCGCTATTCGGGCTCAAACTGAATCGATGAGCGGATTACCGTGTTTAATTGTCCGTTATCAGGATCGCGTGGGTCTAATGCATACAGTTGATGCTCCAGTTAGTCATCAAAGCTAAGCTATTCTGTGGACGGCCGGCATCCCTGGATCAAAGCTCCAGCCGCAGCGCCAGATAATTCATTATTCATGTTCATCACGGATTGTTGAACGTTACCGGCGGATCAACTGACGTGATTAGTGTCATCACTCTCAGTACAGCGTCAGTCCACACAGCCACAACAATGCCACGCGCCGACAGAAATAGCGCGCCCGGATAACGCCATTTGGCCAGAACCCTCAACCCACAGGTGTTTTGGGACTTTCCTTTCCAAAACATCTCCTCGCGTTGGAAAAACACAGGCCTTTGGTACCGAAAAACAATAAATATTTGTTCTGTAAAGTTAGATGTGACAATGAAAAAAAAAAGTTTTTATATTTGCATTTTATCCTCGAGCTGCCCATCAAACCCACCAAACAAATTTCATATTTATTCGTCTCAAAATGAAACCTATGGACTAAAAGTTAGGAATGGACCAAAAGTTGGTCAATGATATAAAACTTTACCAAAGTCTAGCCGCCCCAGCTAATGGCCAGTCGACCTATATGGTCACAGTCATCGTCTTTGGAGGCTATTGTCAGCGCGGGACCTATTGCCCCGCGGGCACAATGGACGGATTTCGACCTGTGTGCAGAGTCGGCACGGTCGAACCGCTGAGCCAGCCCCCCCCCCCTACAGAGCAGGGGGCTCAGGACCCAGGGGGAGATACGGATACAATCAGATCCCGAGATATATGTCCAGGAATAATGCTGAGGAGAGGTGGGAGCTATAGATCCAGATCACCGCATTGATTCAGATCCAGGTCCAGAAGCAATGATAAGTAAAAACCAAAGGCGAATAAGTCTAAAGAGGCATTTTTTATTCAAAGAAAAGGCGCTTTTGGTCGAACAGCAAGAAGGGTACTGAAGCTAGTTAGTCACCGTGCTTGTCAGCCAAGCTCGTCACCATGAGTGGCTCACCAGCCAAAACCATGTTATGAAGACGAGGACACAACAATTATCACGCCGACCAATCCATATCCGAAAAAGCAGCGCAACCCCAGCCTTCGCCGAATAGCTTTTATACATACCTATAATTAAATGACCCACTTGTCTAGGCTGAAAAGTGCATGATTTTTTACCGCACCGATCAAAGTCAATTTATCGTTAATAATTTTAGACAATCACGTGCTAACGGCTATTTTGTTTAGGATGTAAGAAGCAGCCTACAGCGGCGTATCTCGACATTCATTCACTGACAATGCAACTAGGAAATGAGGGGGTGAATATCAGGAAGTGCTTCCGCATGCCGTATTTACATCAGCCTCCATGGTGACCTGAAGAGTCGACGATGGCAACAGAATAAAACTCACGGCACGCAATTGGTAAAATCCTTGCGACGATTCGTCGGACGTTGCAGGGTCGAATACGACTCGCCGTCTATTTGGCGTCCGATACGACGAGATTGATTTGCTTGTCAAAGGGACCAAGGCAACCTAACAGCGGCAAAGGGAATGGTGTACCCAGCACCCACTTTATGTAATGCGTTGATTAAATAGAGCCAGCACGTGGATGCATTGAGCCAAACACATATAAAGAAAAACGAATAGGGAGCGTTCGCACCTGTGGTAATTCCTCAACGTCGATATAAAAACATGAAAAAAAACAAAAAACAAAAGATTTATCAAATAAAGCTTAGTAATATCCTCCTATTTCTGGATATGCAGATTAGCTTTATTTCCCAGTCCCGAAACTTCATCTGCTTTAGCCCCACTCAGACGACTACATTAGGACCGGTGAGCTATAGTTCTGTCCAAAACTAGCCAATGGCGGATCGGTGCAACATTGATCACCTATGTCGGCTGAATTACGTCCGCCTTCAGGAAGCCACGGCATGTGCCCGGCCGATTTATTGTGATTGAAAAATTGAGTATCGTTTGGATTCCGCTCTCGCTCTTAGTTATTTCACTCGGAGAAGATTTAAAGGCGCGCCAAAATCGGCGCACGTCCAGTCAGGAAACCTGACACATTGATGGATCTACCAATGGCTCAAGATTGGCAGGCCAATATATAATTGAGGATGTATTTACATGCAGCAAAATGCATTTTATTGCGAATGCCACAGATTCAGGTCTATAGGAAGTGGAACGTGGCATGTAATACATGTTTAGAACATCCTCGAAAGACATGCTTAGGTTACAGGCAACTAAAATGCCTAAAAACGTTATTGATATGACGGCAAGCAATCATCGTGGTAGGCATACAATTCAATAACTGCCATGAAACACTGTTTGAACTCCCACTCCCCAGAAATATTGCTGTAATCACCGGTACCATATATCAGCCATGACCATCGACCAGGTCAGTACAGCCCCACTCAATTGCCGAATGACCACCCTAAATCACACCTAAGCATTGCACGCAATGAGCGGTAGCTATCAGCGCCTGTCACTGATACCCCTCCCCCTCCCCCGTCCCCATCGACACCGCGCCGCCCCGAGGCACGCGGCGGGGCGGGCTGACCCCATCGTGACCCCTGTCCACCCCGCCACGGACCATGCAGACCTTTGGCTACCACGGACGCCTTTTCATCGCGTGATGATTGATCCCGCCACGGTGTGACACGCGCTCAAAGGCTGTCGACACGCCGAGAAGTGGTGAGCGCGATCGTTCACGGACGCGTCACACGATTCGGGGTAAAGCCTCGGTCAGAGGGCACTAAGCAGGTCGGTCACTCGACGCTAGACAGCGTCAGGAAGCCAGGCGTCGGGGGTGGG